AGTCTTCATTTTAGACCAAATGGAAGTGCTATCACTGAATTAATGGTATTTCACTGAATTAATGGTATTTCACGATATCTTTAACCTTCAAACCTCTGATCAGCTTTGAAATCTTGAGCTATGTTTAGGTGTTCCCTAATCCCCAAGAGAAAGAAGACAAACTCTGAAAAGTTATATGCTAATAAATATGCTTGAATAAGGGATCATCCATAAAGAGGAGAAAATTTAAAAAAAAATAAGAGAGAAAGAAGGATGAGAAGGGAGGGGCGGAAAAGGTGTTTTATGAATAATTTTGATACTGATACACATTGTACGGTACTCTCCAGAAAGCTAGTGCTATACCTTAAACCTGTCCCCAAAGCAAAGCTCATGTGAGGTCATGAGGCCGAGGGTAAGGTCACGCTGGCACATGGGGCAAAGGCCACTAAGGTCTGTTGAGAAGGAGCCACTGTGTGCTATATTTTACTCAGCATTCTTTTCTCTTAGGTACCAGTGACTGGGATCAAATGTTGGTGGGATTAAGTTTCCCATTAAATTCTTCTTAATCATAGAACGTGTGTGATTGGTGCCTGGTGCTCTGCAAAGTGTTGCCATAAATACTGCGCTTTCTGGAAGCAGCAGGTGACGGAAGCTGGCAGTTGGAAATCATGCCCATTTTTATGTCACCTTTAGTTCAATGACTTACTCCAAGTCACAGAACTAACAATGAGGCCTAGACATAGAACACAGAAGCCAGTGTCCAATTTCACTTCGTTCATTCATGTGCTTGATCATTCATTCCACAAATGGAGCCCCTGGACTCAAAGAACTCTGTGGGCCTTCCACAAGTTTTTACTGTGGAATAGGCAGAAAGAAACCCCTCAGTGTGTGAGTGTGAGTATGTGTGTGTGTGTGTATTCATACACACATGCTAGAGTGCTGGTACTGGGGCTTTCTCTTAGCTTTTTTTTGCTCCCAGGGTGGTGATCTACCGCTTAAACCACAGCTCCATTTCTGGCTTTTTGGTAGTTAACTGGAAATAAGAGTCTCCTCGATTTGTCTGTCCAGGCTGGCCTTGAACTTTGATCCTCAGATCTTAGCCACTTGAGTAGCTAGAGTTAAAGGTGGGAGTCATCGGAATCAGCTTTAGATGAGCCAATTCTTTTATTTTGGTTTTAATGGGGGGAAAATAATGACAAACAGTGCTTGGCCCAGGAAGGGACCAAGCAGTAAGGAGAAAGGTTAGCTTAAATAGCCTAATTTTGTCCAAACACAAAAGTGTATGTATGAGTGCTGGCAAAAGCTGAGCATTGGCCAACCCTGGCATTGGAAGGCCTATCCTGTAGACTCAGCTAAGGACAGCCAAGATACTCAAGTTCAGAAACCTGTTCATCTCCAAAATCTCTGGGCTGAGCCTACAACCTCAGGTGCAAGAAAGTATCCGAGTAGCAAGTTGCCTCTTTTAATACTGTGATGTCTTGAAGCAAGAATGACTCAAGCACAGGTTTGAATGAGGAAATTGTTTGCAGGAGCCTGTATATGTGCACACATTTTCGTACACCCACATGGATAGAGTTTATATCCATAATACTATATATAATATCCGTAGCCACACAGATTATACAAATCATATCCAGACTCCATAAATCTCACACACAGAGACATCCGAATAATGTGTGTGTCTAGACTAACCCTTGGGGACACGCTCAGATGGAGATGGGTGACTGGGAGGGGGTGACCTGAGCGGGCAATGCCTCAGTCCTACGTGACTAAGGCAGCTATTTACCCACAAAGGAGGCTCTGAAGGAGGGGTTGGGGGGTGCCTGAATTACCTTTCTCCATAAAGAACATTCCATGATTCTGGGGGAAATGGATTTCTCTCTGTCATTTAAAAAAATTGTATTCAGGCAGGAAATATATTATTGATTTCTGATCTGGCTACAGACAATGTGACTTGGAGTAAAGAGCACTGATTAAGGGGACAAGAAAGCTAGATTCTTCCCTGGACCCCCCAGCCACTCTCCATCTCCCTCCATCACTGTCTGACCTTGGGCAACAAATTTCAGCACTCTGGGCTTCAGGCTCCCACTTGAACACAGTGGCTGTGGGTTCTACAATTTCTCTTCTAGCTTTCTGTGTATGAAAGCATCCCCACCCTACCCCTCATTTCATCTGTCTCCATGAGCTCTTAAAAAAAATTCAGCACTCAACACACTTGAATTCTGATTGTCTTATTTTCTAACCAAAGATCTCCATTTCACTTCTCCAAACCATCCACATCTTTGCAGAATTTAGAGGATCAGTACTGTCACTGGCTGCTCTGGTTTGAATTAGGCATTGTTCTTCCTTGAGGCAAAATTTCAACTCGGTCCAGTCTGGGATCACTGGTTGAGAACAATAAGCCCCCAAAGTGAGAAGAGTAAATAAAGGCCTTTCCTCTGCAGACAGGGTCTGCTTGAATGTATTGAGCCCAGGATTTAAAAAAAAAAAAGCCTTGGTTGTGTACATTAAAGAGTCCAAAACAGCGACAGCCTGGAAGCAAATTCCACTCTAAGCCACCGACCTTGGCTGCATCTCAGGGGTCAGGCATCCCTCCGGAGATGCTCAGCAAGCAGGTTTTCCTGTCTATGGGCTCAGGAGCAAGAGACTTCTCCAGAGCCTATGTCTCCAAACTGGACCAGCAGAGAGATGACCTGTCCTCTGATTTGTGGACGCATGTGATCTGCACACCCCACTCATGCTCACGCCAGCCCTGGTTGGAGGACCGTGGATCTTGAGCACACATTGATCTGCATGTTTGCAGATAATGGATAAACTGTGGCTCTTTGTATATCTGGGAGCAGGCAGAAAATCAGAAGCAATGAACAGAATGAGGCAGCTGAGGCCACAAAGAAACATATCGATTCAATCATGTCAAGATATCTCTTCAAAACACAGATTGCATGAGCAGAAGTCTCTTAAGAGTGTGAACGGACAGCACTCCGGGCAGCCTAGTGGCTAAACCTTCAGGCCGTGTGCTTGGTGTCTCAGAAAACCTTCCCTCAGGAAAAGCCCATGAGAGACCAGTCCTGGCTCAAGTTAAATCCACAGCAGCCCCATAAGAGCAGCACTGTCAAGAATCCAACTGGATCATCGCATGCCTTGCCCATTGTTCAGACCCCTTCCTCTTGGCCCCTCCCCTCCCACCTCCATCCCCCAAGTCTAGGCCATCCATCCACCTGATTAACTCCCAGCCACAGAACTAGGGCAGATGAGCCCCCGGTCTCGGAAAGCAGGAAGCCACACACTGATCCAAAGCACCGACGCTGTTGCCAGCCCCCATCCCCAGCTGCCCAGCGGGCACTGGGGTCTGGATGTGGCATTTGAGCACCAGGGAAACAGACAGCTTACTGTAATCACGCAAGAATGAGCTTTGGCTGCCCGACTATTAGACTGGCCCATTTCAAACAGCCTACAGCCCCCCTCCACCACCACTGCAACACACCTCTACCCTGCTGAAATCTGTCCTCTTGGACCAATATATTTGCGAAGGGGGAAGGGGTTGGAAATAAAACAAGGGATGGGAGTAAAAAGAGAGGTTTAGGGGGAGTAAAGAAAAAAGTCTCACTTTGATCAGAGAGGTGGTTTTGTTTTTTTTTTTTTTAATATCTGTAGAGAAAGAGGCAATGTCAGCGAAAGCACTGATTCAGGGAACCGGCCTGGGGATCTCGCATCCATGTGAGAGGGAGGGAGAGCAAACTTCCACCCGTTCTGCCAGTCGGCAGCAGGGACAGCCACCATGTCACCCACCTCCCTCGCATCGGGTGCATGCACTTGCTGTTTTATTTTATTTTTGGTTCAAGAAAGAAGCACCGTGTCCAATCTTCCTCTGAACCCCGGGCTGCCATCGTCACCACCACCCCTTATCCCCTCTCCTGGCAGGCAGCTTCTAATTAAAATGGCAAGAGAGCTCAGCCCCCTTTCTCTAAGGAGGGAGCTGGGCTTGGGGGGGTGGGGGTGGGGAGGCGCCGAGGCTGCGCTGGGATTCCTGCTATTCTGATCTCAAAACGGCAGCAAAATGGATTCTATATGGGTGATGTCTTAGTCAATACAATGAGACGGCGGCGATCGTCCGAGGCGATCCACGGGAAGGGAAAGCGAAGCTGTGGGCCCTGGGGGTAGGGGATGCTGGAGGGCTGGGAGGTGTTCCACAAAGGACTGACCACAGACACGGGGGAGGAGGGGGGAAATCACACATTCTGGGGAGTTCCGGGCTGATGGCGGGGAGCGGGGGGTGGCGGGGAGAGGAGGAGGAAGGTGAACAGAAAACACATCCCCTTCCACCTGCCTAAGTTCAGCCATAAAACTGAAATGTCACCGCCTCCAAGTCAGAAAACCCAGGCAGGGCTAAGTTCTACCCATAAATAAAGGTGAGTGGCAGACTGGCGTTTAGGAGGGCGCCGAGGGGGGGAGGAGGAGGGGAGAGGGGGGAGGGGGCGCCGTGGCGTGGACTGGACCCTCCCCTCCCCCCCGGAGCGGCGGGCTCGGCAGGCGGCCACAGCCAGGCTTGGGCCGGCGAACGCCAGGGCCCCATGTCTTCATCCAGGTGATTCTTCCTTGCGAAAATAAATACATGAGAATAAATAAAGAATTCAGTCGGGCCTCGCGCCTTCGCCGGGGACGAACGCCCCGGGCGTGTGCCCGCGCGCGCACCATCCGCACACGCACACACATCGACATAATGCACACATGCACACACATGCACACGCGCACACGCGCGCGCGCGCGAGCCCTTCCTTCAATGCTCTTGCATGTGTGAAGATGGTACTGACGTGAAGCTCCGCGAGCTCTCGGACCCACAGCCACAGCCACGGGAGCCCGAACCCGCCCCGCGCAGCCCCGGTCCCCGGAGCGCTCCCCCGCACCACCCCCCGATCGAATCCACACGCAGATTCCCCGCGGCGGATCCTTCCGACGCCCCCCCCGCCCGCTCGCCCCCACGCGGACCGCGGCACAGCCCTCGGAGAACGCGTCCCGCTCACCCTCAGAGCCGAGAGATCGATTTCATCCAGGCTGCGAGCCGGCGAGTCGCTGGCCATGTCTACTTCTTCGCCGGGGAAGCGGACCCGCACCGCCCCGAAGCTTCTCCCGCGGCAGTTCGCCCTCGGTCTACTCGGCGGGCGTCCTCATGCGGGGGTCGCGCGCCAGCGGCCCCGGGCCCAGCCTCCCCGCCGCCCACCCCGGCCCGGGAGTCGGATCGCGATCCTCCGCGCGCCTCGGATCCTCCCGTGGAGCACGGAGCCCAGCCTGCGCGGACGTCCACGCCCGGAGCCGCGCGCCCGGAGCCGGCGAGCGTGCGGGCTGCGCGCCCTGGTCGGCTAAGGGCGCCGGGGCTGCGAGGGCGTATTTAACTGGGACATGCTCCTCGCCCGAGCGCGGATGGCGGCCGCACCGGCTGTTCTAATGAGACACATCAACTCCTCCACTCAGCTGGGGAGGCTGGGGGCGGAGAACACGCAGAGCTGTCCATCACCGCTTCCTGGGCGGAGGGGGGAGGAAG